TATTTACTTGAGAAATCTTTCAGGATTGTTGTTGCTGTCAATGTATATTTTTGCTAATGCATTATGTGTGGCAGGTTCAACGCAGCCTTCATGAACACGAGACTCCAGCCATGGAAGTAAGAGTTTCAAACGATTTCTTTTCTCAACTTCTTCTACAAGCTCGTCGGTAGAAAATTGACCGCGTACCACAAGAATTAAATTTTTTATTATATCCTCTGAACAATCTACATCCAATAAACCACCCACTACAACTGGCAAACGTGACGGATTTACCTAAAATTGAACCATGGTAATAATATATAAAAATTTTAAACTAATAATCATACTTCCATTTATAAATAATTATGAAATTTCTAAGTTTGCTATTAAATCTAATAAAGGCGAATAATAAAACTTACTTTTTGAACGTAAATTTCTATGTACTTTTGTAAATTATTTCGGTATAGATACAGTACTAGATCATGCACAAAATCGAATCGATCACAAACAATGATCAAAGGTAATTGATCAGATAATTTTGCTTCTTTAAGGAAATTTTTAACACGTTCTGGATTGTAGCAATTACTCTCTCTACAAATTCGTTCAACTTCTTTAATTTGTCCAGTTTTACAAGCTGCTTGAATATATTTGAAATGTACTTCTTGATCTTGACTGAAGTTAACAATAGATCCCAGAAAATAAAATAGTCCCTCATATGATTTAAAACTTTCAAATAAATCTGAAAATAATAATAGTATTGTTCATAAATTAATAAATGGTAGTATAAATAACATAAGTTAATACGCTTAAAATAGCATATAGCAGATCATAAATACCTATCAATGCTTTTGTGGTCAACTGTTCATGATATTTTGTTGCAATCTGGATACAAATTTGTAAATTTTGCCTTATATTAGCAGTTAACATTGCCTTCAAACACTCCAAAGAATCTTCAACTGATAGTGTTCCAAAAAACCCAACAAGCCAATCTGGAGAGAGTAAATGTGTATGTACCACAGCTCTCTTGATATCATACAAATCAGTGTAATGTTCTAAAGTACGTTGCAATAAGCCAGCTTTTTCACACAATTGTGCAATATGGGCTCTGTCATAGTGAGTAAACATTTGGTTCCCTAAAATTGCATCAGCAACTTGTGGAGCAGACATCAAATTCATTTCTAAAAGTCGTGTTTGCAAAGCTCCTTCACTCGGTCGATTGTTTTTTAAAGCATCTAACAAAAATGCTG